GATCAGTAAACCTTTTGTCAAGGTAATTTCAAAAAACTGTCAAAAACATCGTTCTGATGTTCTCTAAAACCCCTCTTAACTGCGGCCATGGACGAAAGAAGCATGAGAAAATAGCCATTTATTATTCTTTTTTACGGAATTAGAGGGATCAGGGGGAGTATTCATTTTAAAATATGTGCTTTTTTCACTTTCATACTGGGCTCTCGTTTTCAACTCTGTGTGCTATTTTGACATATCACTCAACCCAAGCGACTTGCCGCCACATATCAAATAGCTCGTCATAGGTCCAGAGAAGGGACCACGCTTTACGCGAAGAAAGGTAAAATGGATCAACTTGGGACGAGACTAATACCAATTTTTTATACTGTGATCCAACCTGACACCCAGTGACAACGAACCGTGTTTATATAATGGACACGACAGAGAAACAAAACGCCATTGGCTACATAAAATTGTACTAAGCCTGTAAGTCGTCTTTACTGGAAAATCGCGTGTATTCACAGTCTCCCCCCACCCCCCAGGTTGGTTAATATTCTGCCCAATCCGCATCAAAAAGAAAGGAGTAGAAGAGCAAAACAACTTCTCACAGACATGGACCAATCAGTTCAGTTCAGTTTTATTAAGAGATAGATAGGCAAACGCCCATGAGCTCCCTATTGGTGAAAAATGCATCGATACAGTAGACAAATTCAAACAGTGGTCGTTTACATGAATGCAGGCGAAGTGAGCATCCGTCAGTTAGTGGAAAGGTGTAAACGTACACGTCTACTCACTTATTGCGAGCATTATAAGTAGATAACTGCTATGCCAGATGACACGAGCCAGTAGATGGGCCAAAAGCAAAAGGACCACTATGACCAACCTCACGGTTGCTCTTTATGAAAATTCAAAAGAATCTGCGCATAAAGCGAACTGAAACAATATATTGCCCCCCTCCGAAGGTCGTCCACGTCGAACTTTTTTTGCTCGAGTAACGTTCAGAACGCTACCGGAGGATTGGTATTATTTGTTAATTTACGGCAATTTTCCATTAACTCCAAAAGGTCATCCCGATTACTTGTGTCTCTTGCGTTTTTCCGTCTACCCCATAGGCATCTGATCAGAGCCAGGTGACTCGACTATCCTGGAGTCCAGACGGGTCGGTAATCGTCGCTCCTCATGCCATTAACAACCGATTCCCCACAGCTCAGCTCATCAATCGTAACCACTGGCTTCCGGGACTAGACCTAGTTGGACACGAGAAGCACGTGGTTTGTGCAGTAAGTCTACCCCCTCCTTCCTCTGTCCATCCAGCAAAAGCAAATCTCACATTTTGAGCACAGGCTTTTGCGTGTCTCGCTGCGGAATCTCGATTGTAAACACTCTCTTTGACTTGAACACTGCAGCCTTTCGGAAGTAGCTGCATAACGTTAGCGTTAGCACGTAAGCTGGCGGGCTCACTGTGCTGACAGCATGGCCACTTGAAGGCCCAAAGTATGGCAAGTCCTGCAAGCAACTTGCCTAAGTTTGTAAAAGTTTTATTATTTCTCTCATACCGGCAAGAGCGGGTTTACGAAAACTTAAAAATAATAATGAGCAGCCTTGGGCATATTAAGTATTTAAAATAAGTGTAAGAAGTACTAAGTGTTAGTTTAAAAAAATAAATTTTCTTGATAATCCCCAGGTTCTGGAGACGTCAAAAATAGCTATAAATTAGAAAATAAATTTAAATATTTTGTGAAGTATGAAACTTAAAGCAACCATTTTCTTTATCTGAAAAGAACTTGTCTTTAGTCAAAATATTTTGTACATATTACCATTAGTGGAT